AAAAATTTGCTTCCTGCTCATCAGGTTACATTCTGATTTTGTTTTCTGTTTGTTTTGCTTTGTTTTGTTTTGTTTTTTAGGGACAGGGTCTTGCTAAGTAGTTCAAGCTGGCCTTGAACTCATTATGTAGCCCAGGTTGGCTTCCAACTATCAGTCATCCTCCTGCCTCAGTCTCCAGAATGCTGGGATTATAGGCGTGCACCACCAGAGTGACCAGGTTGCATTCTAATCAGAGTATAATGACATTATTGTGCCAGTTCATATTCACTTGCCATTGTATAATGTATTTCTGAAACAGAAGGTCCTTGTTATCTCCAAAGTAAGTTCTTGTTCCTAACAGGTTCTTTTATATTGGGGAAAAAATTCCAAAACACTGGGTTCAGACCTCTTCAGAAAGGAGACAACCATGTTATATGGAAAAAATAGAAATAAAAAGTACTATGGGTTTTCACATAGCGTTTTAGCTCTAGAGGAAGACTTCTCAATTTTGACTCTGTGGACATTTGGGATGGGATAATTTCTTGTTTGTGGGAGCCTGACCATCCTATGTAGGGAAGGTTGTTTATCAGCACCTCTGGCCTCCATCCACTAGAGGTCAGTAGCACCTTCCCTCAGTTTTGTCATACAAAAGTCATTGCCAAATGTCTTCGGTGGTGAATCACTCCTCTGTTGAGAGCCTCTAGTCTGCACACTTAAGAGAGCTGCATGTCCTTACTGCTGGAGCACATTTGCAAAAGCCATACCAAAACAAAGCAACAACAAAAATAAAAACCAAGGCTAAGATCTTGACTTCAAGATTGGGCAACTACCAAAGGAAGTGGACTATTTTCTCCATCAGAGTAAGCCTGAAGCAGGTTTCTGTTTCTCTAGAAATAGGAGGATAACCAGGGCATATGTAAGAGATTTGGCTGGGTGATAAAACAGCTACGTTAGTCACTATCACTCATTTTTATGGTGGAGGAAGATGCAGAGGGTTATTGGTAATGACTTCCGTTATTCATGTTTCTCCCAGTTTTCCTGTTGGTTTTAATTCTGCCCATCCATGGTGCTTGTAAATGGCAGAGAACTAGACCACCCCAAACTGATAAATGTGGGTTCTGTTCTTTACCTGGATGTCTCCATAAATGTGTCTGTCATGAAGTCTGCTGTTTATCAGGGGGTGGCCAAGAAGACTTGACTCTGTGGAAGAGAATCATCAGTGGTCATCAGTGTCTGTGCGAGACGAATTGTATGTGTTTACTGTAATAGATCACATCCACATTCGTGTGACATATTGTGAACTCAGGGGGCCATAGCAACGCTGATATTCTATCCAGCTCTTACAGGGGGGCTGCCTAATGCTCAGAGTTTGAATCCATAGAGGTGAACTTAGCAGGTACATGTCCACAATGTGAACCTCTTATGGGGCCAGGCTGCACAAGTCTTTATTTCTACTAACCAACCAATTAAAAACTGACAGTACTTGATTCAAAATTTGCTTTCCAAAAATCCTATCCCATTTCTTTTGTTGAAAATAAAGACTGTCACTGAAAGTTAAATTGGCCTTGGATTTATTTATTTATTGGCTTTTTGAGACAGGTTATTGGGCTGGGGCTATAGCTCAGTGGCACAGACGCCTGCCTGGCAAGCACAAGGTCCTGATTTTGATTTCCGGTACAAAAAAAAAAAAAAGATTCTGTGAGACAGGGTCTTGTTATATAGTTCAGCCTGGCCTTTAGCTCACTTTGTTGCCCAGGCTGTTCTCGAACTCCCAACTATCCTCTGTCTCAGCCTCCCGAGTGCTGGGACTACAGGCGTGTGCCACCACACCTGGCTGCCCTTGGATTTAACACCAGTTCTGGGGGCTGGAGATATAGCTCAGTGGAGGGCCTGCCTGCCAAGCGCGAGGTCCCAAATTCAATTCCCAGTACCAAAAAGACAGAACAAAACAAAAACAAGTGTTGGGCTCAGAGCTCAGGAAATCAGCAAGGAAACAAAGAAACTTGTGAAATCCTTACTTTCACATGGCACTAACCTTGCATTTTGTTGTTATGATGGGATGGCATTGGGTTTAGGGGACATTGGTGGGCAGACTCAGATGTGTGAGTTTTACAAGATGATCATATAAAAACTCCCTGTAAGATTCTCTCTGAGGCTGGGTGTGATGGCACAAGCCTGTAACCCCAGCGATCAGGAGGCCGAGACAGGAGGATTACTGTGTGTTTGAGGCCAGCCCGGGCTACATAGTGAGTTAGAGGCCAGCCTGAGCACATAGCAAAACCCTGTCTCAAGAAAAAACAATCTGGGCCGGGGGTATAGCTCAGCGGCACCAGCGCCTGCCTGGCAAGTGCGAGGTCCTGAGTTCGATTCCTGGTACCAAACAAACAAACAAAAAATCCTCTCTCGGGGCTGGGGATTTAGCTCAGCGGCAAAAGCGCCTGCCTGGCAAGCGCAAGGTCATGAGTTCGGTTCCCGGTACCGGAGAAAAACCAAAAAAAAAAAAAAGTAAAAAATCCTCTCTGATCTGCCTTTGCCTTTTGCTTTAGGCAGTTGACTGAGGCCCTTAGTAGCTAATTTCTAGGACTTTAGCTGCTGCTGGCCTCTATGGGTTCTCCCCGAATCAACTGCTAAATAGTGGATGGTCTTGCTAATCGTCCCACCCTGCTTTCTCCTAGTGCATCCTCTCTGGGAAAGCATGGACCTTGTTCCAGCAGGTGACAGACAGTCACCCATTAACATCCGGTGGAAGGACAGCGTTTATGACCCGGGCTTAAAACCACTCACGATCTCTTATGACCCGACCACTTGCCTGCATATCTGGAATAATGGATACTCTTTCCTCGTGGAATTTGAAGACTCTAAGGATAGATCAGGTGAGGACAATCTCTATACAGTGGTCCCATCTGCAGCAAAAAGAACAGTGTCACATCAACATAGGACCCATCAAACTCCATAGTAGTAATGACCTCTTTGTTAACAATGACATAGACCTCATTGATCTTACCTTTTGAATATATGACAAAATAACCCCCTCTAGTTTTTACTCATATTTTCTTTCACTAGTAAAAGTACTATTTTTATTACTAAGAACTGTACATATGACTCCAAAGCCTCTGTAATTGGTGTTGAGGAGAGGATGCGAAATTTGAAACTCTGTCAGATGTTTATTGTATGTGTATCTTGACTATATAATGATCCTTCTCTGCTTGCTGAGGAAACATATCAACTATTATATTAAATAGTAATACTATTAATCGTATTTAACTTATCAGATCACAATAAACTTGAAATGGGCAAAAAGAATCTTCATGTTGGCATTAGGTTATAGTCTTAATAACTAGTTAAGAGAAGTCATATATTAGAGAAATGGAAACTTTCATTCTGTTAGTTTTATTAGACACTATTACCTAGTTTAAAAGAAAACAGTTGGAAGACTTTTTTTCATTCAGATATTATATAGCTTTTGAAACTTCCCTTTCTGTTCCAGCCTACCTGGATATAAACTAATGTGAATTTCAAAGTTTACCTGAGAGGTCTATAAGTATGGAAGACAGAATGTGACTGATTGTATGTAGATTCTCTCTTCTCCTTGTCCTTCTTCTGTGCCAAGGATCAAACCCAGGGCCTTGCACATGCTAGGCAAGTATCTACCACTGAGGATCTCCTCCCTTTTTAACTGAGTCTGATGGCGCCAGACAGTTACAATTAGTCTGAAATTATGGCACTTTGAAATAGTATATCTAAAGTGGTGGCTTTCAATTAGGGGCAATTTAGCCATCCTCCTCCCTAGGCCCCTCCCCCTCCCCCTTGGACAGAGGACACTTGGCAGCATCTGAAGGCATTGTGGATGTCACAACTGTGGGGAGGAGGTGTACACCTGCCGTGCAGTGGATTAAGACCAGGGATGCTGCTAAAGATCCTATGGTTAGCCGGGCATGGTGGCACATGCCTGTAATCCCAGCACTTGGGAGGCTGAGGCAGGAGGTTTGTTGCGAGTTTGAGACCAGCCTAGGCTACAAAGTGAGCTCAAGGCCAGTTTGAACTGCATAGTGAGACCCTGTCTCAAAAAGACAAAAAACAAAACATAAAAAACCAAAAGATCCTACAGTGCACAGAACAACATCAGTGAAGAATTATCCAGCCTTGAATATCAATAGAGCTGAGATTGAGGACTCCTAAACACAGGGAAATTTGTTTTCTCCCATAAATATGAGGAGGAAGTAAGTCTCTGAGTCCATGAAAGTCATCATGAATGAAGTAAAAATATAACTTAAAAGCACATGGAAATGTTCACTCCTGTATTTATCTTCCTCTAGGATTCTCAACTGTACCATTTGGAGTTTTTTGGCATTTCCCTAGTGATACTTTGATACTTAGACATGAATCTCCGGCCCAACTGCAAATATACTTCTTTGCTGTGATTGCGGACATGTATTTGTGTCTATTCTTACCTTCTCATCCCACATTTTTTGCTTTCTCCTTCATGGTGTGTCATGGCCCCCAAGCCCCAAGCATCCTAAGAAGCAACTGCTCCTTTTCCTTCCAGAATAATGGGCATCTTTCCTAATTAGAGTGTGCCCTCCTCTCAACCAAATGCCCATAGCATTACTTATGCACAAGAATTCCAGAAATCTTCCAAACAGCAAGCTAAATTCCTGTGTTCCAGATGACCAGTTATGGTTTATATCTACCTGTTCTCCCAAGCTCATAGGGGAGGTGCGATTGGATCATGGGGGTGCAGTATTTATTAGTGGACTGGTCCACTGATGAGTTTATAGCTAAGTGTGTTATGCTAGGTAGAACCTGGTTGGAGGAAGTGGGTCACTGAGAGTGAGGCCTACAAGGGTTTATCTCCTCTCTCTTTCCTTGATCTCTTTCTCTGTTTCCTGCCTCCCATGCCCTGAAGGTACTTTTGCTCTGCCATGCCCCTCTACCATAGCATCCTGCCATGGAACCAGCCGCCTGTGGACTGAGAACTACAAAGTGTGAGCCAAAATAACCCTTTCCTCCTTTAACTTGTGGGTGTCAGGTATTTTGTCTTAGCAATGAGAAAGTTTCTAAGACAACCATCTTGCAATCTGGTGAACTCTACTTGTCTCCTATGCAGCACTACCATTATCCCTGCCAAGGCTAACCTAATGGCCAGACCCAGCTGTGGAGCCCTAACTCTCATACAGTCATTCACTCTGGGTGCATAGCAGTGTTCTCAAATTTCAATCTTATGCTAGTAACCAACCCTCCCACTCTCCCTCCCTCTCTCTCCCTCCCTCCCTCCCTTTCTCTCACTCTCTGTCTCTGTCTCTCTCTCTCAAGATCTTAGGGTACTGGTTAATTTTTAATGCCCTTCAGAGTCTAGGAATGGTGTGTTGCCAATATATCATTGCTGCATTGAGTTGGAAATCTCACGAAGGTGTTTAATGGGTTTATCAACCAAGGAAGTTAAGCCCCAGACCTCTCAGCCGAATAGATATTTTAAAAAGGTTTTAGGCCCTTTTTCTTTTGAACAATAGATTTAGGAATTCTTATCTACCCACTTGCATGGGTCATCTTATTTTTTTGTTTTGTCTTGTTTTTTTCCGGTACCGGGAATCAAACTCACAGCCTTGCGCTTGCCAGGCAGGCGCTGTGCCGCTGAGCTAAATCCCCAGCCTGAAACATGGGTCATCTTAGATGGAAAACAAATGAGCCATGTTTTCATCATAATAGTACTTTATACACCTACAAACCTCACTCACTGAATCATCCCTTGATGGTACCTTTCCTAGGTGAATCAATCTCACAGTTTTATAACAAAATATGCAACAAAAATTGTACAGCGGTTGATTAGTTTTTCACTTGTTTGGTCAAGAAGGACTAAAACTGGTAGCTCCTTTTTAATTTGTTTTAATTTTTTTTCTTCTAGGATGCCATCAATCTTTCATAAGTACCTAACTTTCCCTATCTCTCTTTTTCCTTTCAGTGACTGCTTCTTATTTCCTGCTTATTCTTCACTGTTATTTTTCCACACTGTTGCAAAACAATCAATAGCATTCAAAGAGGAGAAAAAAGGAGGACTTGAACATAAAAAATAAAGAAAAAATAAAAGAAAGCAAAGATATCCTAGAATCCGAGAAAAGTAAGAAACAATTTTAGAAAAGGATTTAACAAATATCAACATCTATGAATTTACAAATATAACACACACACCCCCAAATCCCTAGGAAATGCTGCTATGGTGTGCTTTATAAAAGTCTGGAATAAAAATGAAGGAAAAGGAGTCAGGGAAGGTACGTGACAAAAGAACAGCTCTTAGTGGGAAATTCAGAGACGAAAATGCCTGTAATGGAGAACTTTCTTAAATCAATAACCTAGCTTTCCACCTTAAGAAACTAGAAAGAGAAGAGCAAACTAAACCCAAAGCAAGAAAGAAGGAAATAATAAAGAACAGAAGTCAGTGAAGTCAAAGGTTTGTCTTTGGAAAGATCAACAAAATTGGCAAACATTTAGTTAGGTGGACCAAAAAAAACCCCCAGAAGGCTGAAATTACTAACCTCTGGAGCGAAAGGGGACAACACAACCTCCTTTACAGAAATTAACAGATTTATAAGGTTAGGTATGTGAACTTCTCATGCTACTGTTCTTTTGGGGGGTGCTGTTCTGTTATTTGGTTTCCTTGAATAGGACACTGTTCATGATTTTAATGAGTGGATGCGACTTAAGTGATATGGGGAAGGACGCTAAATTATTTGTAATCTGGATGCTCCCTGGAATTACCATCTCCTCTGAAATTCCTTTTATTGGCAAAGTCAAAAGGCTTAAAGAGGAGAGCTCAGGCCCACTGTTCACCTCCTAAGGGTGCTTCCTGCCTCCTCTTGCTTCGATTTCCATTTTTGTAGGGCATCGCCAGTGAATCTGGTAAGAATTCATTATACGTGTTTTTGAAGCTCTCCTCTATTTTTGGTTCTACGGATACATATATTTGACACACTGATGATTAGTAAATTAACAGTGTTTTGCAATCATCACTGCAATGCACTTTTAGAATGTTTCCATTACCCCAGCATCCTCATGCCCACTTCCTGCATTTACTGTTGTTTATATGGTTCTGTGTATCACTGTGCTTTTCATCATTTTTCTCTGTTAGCTCCTTCACTTGCACACTGAAAAGCAAAAGAGTGAATATTACAAAATAATATTCTTCCCTGTAAGTCAGATCCTATACCAGGTATTTTATATTTGATTTTTCACAACTTTATCCTTTCTCATTTTAAAGCACAGAAATAACAAAATATCAGTGACCTCAAGCACAAGAGTGTAGATTTATTTGATAGATCTTTTGACTGCACTCCTCTCGGAGTTACTGTCTTCTATCTCCTTTCTCTGCCCCTTTCCTGGATGACTATACTTCCTCCTCATCCACACACAAACCCACCCTTTCCCTCTGCTTTTGCTGAGGGTACCACTGACATCTCAATTAACTAACTGAACAGCCACTTGACGGTTTCATTCCTGGTTTCACTGTGGATCAACAAAGTGCCCGGCACTATGCTAGGTGCCCAAAATAGAAAGAGGAAGAAGGGGTGGCTTTTAAGTGTGGAGGAGAGGCAGATCTCGGAGAGCGGACGCTCCTGCAGAGGGCTAAGAGCTGTGATGGGGGTATGCACGTGGACTGGGGAGAAGCCCTTCCGGAAGAGCTGATGTCTGGGTGATCTGTGTGGAGGCAGAGGTCTGAGGCAGTTGACGCTTGTGTGAAGTGTGACTGTGTGTAAAGTGTAAGAAGGAGGTTGCAGAGGACGAGTTTAGAGGCAGGCAAGAGCTGATTCATGGAGAGTTTTGCAGACCATGCTCACAGACGATTTGGGCCCAGAGTTTCTCATAGGGCCATAATCAAGGCATCAGTCTTGGTTGGGGGTCTTAGCTCATGACTTGTTTGGCAAAAGATCCTCTTGCAAACTCACTCTAGTGGCTATATTCTGTTTCTCCTAGGGCCTGCATTCCTGGGTGGCTGATGGGCAGCAGGCACCTGTGATGGATTTTATCTAGCAGTCCCCCCAAAGCCTCATGCGTGGGGCTTTGGGGAAGTGATTGGATCATGGGGGTGTGATGCTCATCACTGGCTTAGTCCACTGGTGAGCTCATAGCTAAATGTGAGGTTTGGAAGTGGAGCCTGGTTGGAGGAGATGGGTCACTGGGGGCGTGGCCTGGAAGGCTTTATCTCCCTCCCCCACTCTTCCCTTCACTGCTTGGCTGCCACCACGCCCTGAGCAGCTCTTCTCATGTCCGTCTGTTACGCTGACCTGCTTTGGAGCCAGCCCACTCTGGACTGAAATGTGAGCCAAACTAAACCTCTTCTTCAAGTTGCTGGCACCAGGTATTCTGTCCCAGTGATGAGGAAAGTGACTAAGACATCGCCCTCATTTTCTTGCTATGTGGACTTGTCCATTGGGCAGCTCACAGCGTGACAGCTGACTTCATCAACTTTGCAGGCAAGCAAGGGAGAAAAGTCAGAGAGAGAAAGCAGGATGGAAAGCTGAGTCTTTTCCTAACTTAATCCCCAAAGAGACATCCCATCACTTTGGCCCTTCAAAGCAAATCATGAGCTCCAGCTCACACTCAGGGGAGGGAATAACACAAGGTTGTAAATAGCAGGGGGTGGGGAGCATTGGGTATCAAGTTAGAAGCTGCCGGCACACACGGCTAATGGCACATAGCTAACTCACTCAGACTGAAGCCCTTTCCTACAAAGCACCTGTCCTTAACCACATTTTGCAGTAGAACAGCTTCCTGTCACGTTTTTCTTCTATGTGCAGTGTATACTGGTAAGGGCTTGGTGCAGAACCCAGGGGCCTACTGAAAGGCAGCAGCCATATCTGCCACACAGCCTCTTGCCCATTGGGATTTTGTGCCCATCATGGCCAGGGTGTTTCATCCTCACAAGTCAGGTTGAAAGTGTGTGTGTGTGTGTGTGTGTGTGTGTGTGTGTGTGCTACTGGGGACTTGAATCCAGTAGCAGCACTCTACCCCTGAGCTACATTTCCAACCCTCTCAATTTTTTATTTTGAGAAAAGAATTTTTTAATTGCCCAGGCTGTCTTCATCAAGTTTCCCAGGCTGGCCTTGAACTTGCAATCCTTCTGCTGCTTCTGCTTCCTAAGTTGTTGGTTTTCTTTTTTTTTTGGTTTTTCTCCGGTACCAGGAACCGAACTCACGACCTTGCGCTTGCCAGGCAGGCGCTTTTGCCGCTGAGCTAAATCCCCAGCCCCTTCCTAAGTTGTTGGGATTACAAGTGTGTGCACTACTGCACCCAGCCGGAAATGTGGATTTTTGTATGAAATTTTCCAAACTTTAAATGTTAGCAACTAATTAAAAAATGTGTTGACTACTCTGTATATCAAAATACACCCGAAAATGAGTTCTGTCTCCTTTTCCTCTGCCCTGCCCTCCTCTCTGCCCTGTTCCTCATCTTTGAAGTCGTCACACAGTCAGGCTCCAGGAAGTGTCAGAGCTGTTCTAGGGAAAGGAGAAAAAAGCTGGCCCTTCTTTAGCCTTGGTCGCTTAAGTTGGGATGGAAACTTCAATTTTGTTCAATAGAATGGATTTAGTATTTTCCAAAATCATGCTCACAGTAGGGAACTGGTGTAGAAAATATGGTTTTCTGGAATATATTTTTATTTCATTTTTCTTTAGTATGGCCCTCCTATTAACTTAGTGTTATGGTTGATACATTGTGTCAACCTGGGGAGTCTAGCGGTTTGGCTAAGTGACTCAGCAGGGAGCCGGGGTGCTTACTTTGTATACATCCTGAGCCTGTGCAAGAGGAGGGCATGGAGATTATGTGCCAGCTACAGGCCCCTTAGGTGGGGGGTTTACAATGTAAGGGAGGGAGAGAGGCTGCTTGCTGCCATTCCCCCCTTTGCTCTTGTTGTTTTGCTATCTTCTGCCTCGAAGCCAGCCAAATATGGACTGAAACTTCCACAAACTGTGAGCTAAATAAACCTTTCCTCCCTTAATTTTGGGCGTTGGGTATTTTGTCTCAGCAACGAGAGAAAAGTAACCAAGACACTTAGTGAACCAGGATATTATTCTCTGCATCTCCCCTGCCCTCCAAAGAGAAGTGATCATTGATGTGCTCACTCACCTCTTGCAAAACTGTTTTTTTTTTTAAAAGAGGAAATTATGTAAGAATTTTTCAAAAACCAGTAAAACACATAGCATACTATTATATGTTATATCCAGTGTATTTGGTCCTTGGGATTGCCATACTTGATCTTTTGTATATATAAAATTCAGCTAATGGTACAGTAAACTCTAAAGAGTATCAGAGTTGTAGTGTTGGTTAGTTTTAGTGTTGCTCTATTTGAGTTTCTACAGGTATCTTTAGGATCTGACAGATGGAAGAATTGAAAAACTAATGTGCCTTAGCAAAGTTAAGGGAAAAAAATCAGCACAACTCAAAGCCCAAGGAAAGGTGACTTTAAAAACTTTTCTTTTCTAAATAATTTTCCTATAGTGTACTGATTTCACTAGTTTCAGAAAAGTAGTCTAAACAAAAACCACTTACTGACACTATAAAACCAGTGGATATCCACATATGTGGATGGCTCACAGTGTTCACATGGTCCAAAGTGAGATGGGTGATAATTTTTGTCTTTTCTTAAATTGGCAATAATTATATACATTTATGAGGTGCAATGTGTTTTGACATATGTATACATTGTGGGATGATTGTATCAAGCTAATTAACATGTCCATCAACTTACATAATTATCACTTTTTATAGTTAGAAATACTGAAAATCTACTCTCAGAAAGTTTTAAATATACAATAAATTACTGTTAACTATGGTCATCATGTTATGCAGTAAATCTTGAAAACCTAGTCCTGCTTTTTAACTGAAACTTTGTCCCAGTTGGTCAACATCTCCTGGGTGATAATTTTTGACTTGCAAATTTCCTATTCCATTTTAATGAAAGAGAAAGAAAAGCATGGCTTTGCTCTTGAAAAGCAGAGTGTTCATGCATAAAAAGAAAAGAGTTTCTTTTTTCCCCATATTTCAGTTTTATTAGTTTGGTTAAATATATGTGCTCAGAGAAATCTGTATTGTACTATATACAAGTAAAATGAATACTTTATAGAATATAAAAATAAGTCAAGAATTGGCCTTTAATGATTGTATGCAGATTGGTGTGCAATTAAATCTTGATGTCATTTGGTGTTGCCCTTAAATATATAGAAACTGCATGGAAATCTATTTTACGAGACGTGATCAAAATATATTGTGATGGTTAAGGTTAAAACATTTATTCAGCAAAAGACACATTGCCATGAACCCCTCTCAAAATACTCCCCCCTGCTTTGAACACATTTATCCCATCATTCTTGCTATTTTCTGTCGCAGTTCTAGAAGTCCTTGTTTATGAGTGTCTTTACGAGATGTGATAAAAAAATATATATGGTGAATGCCAGCACCCAGTGCCATCCACAGAGAGACAGGCTCATAAAAACATCCTTCTTATTCCCTGGATCTGGCACGTTGAAGCTTCTGGATCTTCCCCAAAGACAAAATGACCATAAAAGGTAAACATTCTGAATCAATTCAAGACATTAAAGGTAGTCACAACGGTGCAACTAAAGACACTCAAGAATGAGGACGTCTGGAAGTCCTTCAGGAAGTGGCAAGAACTGTGCATAAGTGTGCTCCAAGTGAGGGACATGCTTTGAGTGCGATTAAGGCAATATGTCTTTTACTGCAATAAATTTTTAAAAATGTAAACATCACCCTGCTTCTCCATCACACTGCATATAAATACTTGTATGTAATATAGTGTACTTCATTTAGAACAGTTCACATTTGGCCTCTTCCCCACACTCCTCTACAGCATAAGTACCCATCCCTCAAAGTGTTGTTACACTGCCATTTCAGTGATCAAGGGAGGACCTCTGGAACACAACTACCGATTGAAGCAGTTCCATTTTCACTGGGGGGCCATTGATGCCTGGGGTTCCGAGCACACTGTGGACAGCAAATTCTACCCAGCAGAGGTATGTGGGGCAGGTCAGAACAGTGATAACTGTGGTGAAGTGGGATAGTTCTGACATTTCTAGTTCTAAGAAATTATCAGGGAGAATCAGGCGATGCCTGTTCATGCCAGATAGCTTGCTTAGGGATATATTTGATTACTCCCAGCCTAGACATGTAAAAATTATAGACATCTTAAATAATATGAGTGAAATGAAGCTTCCAGTCTTGAAACTGGATTCCTTCACAATTCTAAGCTAGGCTTAAGCTATTGCCCAAAATAGGCAACAGTGCAGAGGCACACAGTTGGATTAGTCCACATGAGAAACAGTGCAAGCTTTCATGAAGGTTGTGGCAATAGAAATAGAGAAAAAGCAAGATTTATCAAACATTTCTAAAATAAAAGCACCAGAAGTTGGAGATAGGATCCTCTTCAGGAGAGGAGGAGGCCAAGTTAACCAGGACTTTAAAGAGTCTCACTTGGGGGGCTGGTCATCATGCAGACATTCACGAAGGATGGATGAGAAATGACTTATAAGGAAATAGAAGGACAGCCTAAGAAAATAGAATTTCACCTTACAATTTTCTCCCTAATTTAGTTTTAAATGTTATGTTAAAAATGACACATTGTAAGTGGTCATCCCTCCAAGAAGAAATTTGTCTTCAACTCCTGTCTAATTTCCATAGGGAAAATCTATTTCTGTCTATAAACATCTTCTCTGCTTTAGATGCAAATGGATTTTGGATATTAGTATTTCATGCAAATCACGATGAGAATGAACAAATGTTCATCCCTCACTGAAATGTTGCTTTGCTATATGAATTTTATTTTTCTCCCCTAATAAATCCCTCTCTTCCAAAGTAACATTAATTGTTGCTCTTGCCTAAATCTCCTCCTGTTCTTTATTTCCATCTCATTTGACACTTAATTGCCATATGCTTTTCAAAGTAGCTTTATTTTGCATGAGGAAACACGATTAAATAGTGCGTGTTGAATGAAGCTGTCAAGTTTCTCTGCAGCAATCCTGTATGGCATGTGTTAAACCCACTTTTAATGGTGTTTCAGCTGCATTTGGTGCATTGGAACGCAGTCAAATTTGAAAGCTTCGAGGATGCGGCCCAGGAAGAAAACGGTTTGGCTGTGATAGGAGTATTTTTAAAGGTAAAAAAGAACAAAGTCATGAACTTTAAAGGATGTATTATATTGCAGCAGGAAAATGCAGAATATTATAATATTGTTATTTACTGCAAAGATATTAGGACCAATACAGTGATAAAATAAATAATTATTAAGAATACAAATGGTATGAAATGGTATGAAATGGTATGAAAGCGCGCAGTCCAACCAAGTAGTTGCAAGCCAGCAGTAGCAATTGAGCATTTGAAATATGGTTAGTGCGAGTGCAGAATAATTTTTAACTTTAATTAATTTAAATTTCAATATAAGAAGGGGCAAGAGGTACCTTTCCCTGCAGGCACAGTAGCCTTGTCAGCAAACAGCTCGCTCATTTGTTTGTGTCTAATTTACTTCAGTGATGTTTATAACATTCTCAAGCACCATTTTAAGTCAAGTTTCAGTTGTGTGGTTTGTTTATGTGTAATCACCAGGTGCTTCATTTTCACTCGCATTCTGGTACTGCTTCTACAGTGAGATGTCCATTGTTTGTAATATTTTCTCTTTGATTGCTCTTTAGCTAGGCAAACATCATAAAGAGCTACAGAACTTGCTGGACACTTTGCCATCAATTAAGCATAAGGTAATTTTTTCCCCTAAATCACTTGAAGTACATTTTATGTTTCAGTCTCAGGTTGGAGACATTAGCAAGCTACACTGAAGCAGGAGTGTAATTAAGTGAACTATATGCAGATTCTCTTCCAACACTGCTGTGCGAGACCTGCCGCTTACGATACACGTGTTAGCTGTCCCCTCCTTTGTGCCTGACACCAGCTCCTTCTCAGTCCTTGTCCAGAGCAGCCTTCTTTCCTCTAGCTTCCTTCCACAGGTAGGGAGCAGGGAAAGCTCTACAGAAATTAGATTTATTTGGCTGCAAGGAACAGTCACCCATACCCTTTGTCCAACCTCCAGGATTAATTTTTCAATATTCAGAATCCCAAAGCGGCTACTCGCTGGGAGTCTGTTATTCATCCGTCCCTCTCCATCTCCTTTTCTCCGCTTAGGCCAGGATTCAAGCTCTTCCTGTTCGTACTGCATTTTACAAGGACAATTCTGGGTTAGTTTCTCACTAGATCTGAGGGAGGAAAAGGTTTTGAATCTTAAATGGTGTGAGCCGGGAATATAGCTCAGCAGCACAAGCGCCTGCCTGTATCTTAAATGTACAACTGACTGCAAAAACAAAACCTGGGTAGGATGCTGACCTAGGAAGTGACGATTCTTTGGGAAGCTGCCCAGGGTCCCTGGACAGCCCCTGAAAATCACTGCCTCGCCATTTGATTCCTGAGTGGTTTTCGCCACTGAAAAATGAATGACTCAGTGACTTTTCTCTTGGCCAGGACACCCTTGTGGAACTTGGGTCCTTTGACCCCGCCTGCCTGATGCCTGCCTGCCCTGATTACTGGACCTACTCAGGGTCTCTGACTACCCCACCTCTCTCAGAGTCTGTCACCTGGATCATTAAGAAGCAGCCAGTAGAGGTCGATCACGATCAGGTACATTCTTTCCCCGTTTTCCATCGAACGAAATCCTGCTGCCTGTTTAAGATAAGGCTGGGCTCAAACTCTGACATTGGTTTTAACTTTTGACTTAATTTAGGAAATTAGGAAATGCTAAACGAGGAAGAACTAAAGTATTTGCTTCTATATTTGATAATTACACGTATTATGCATTGTGGCATATAGATAAATATGCATCTCTGTATAAAATCAAGTTCCATTTAACAGGAAGAATCAAGGCTAGAAATGGATATGTTCAAAACCATTTAAAATTTTTTTTTGTTTTGTTTTTTTCCCGTACTGGGAATCGAACTCATGACCTTGTGCTTGCCAGACAGGCTCTGTGCCGCTGAGCTAAATCCCCAGCCCCCATAAAATTCTTAAGGCAATTTTGCAATAAAAATCTCAAGATAAAGAGAACTCAACAATGACTGCCCAGAAAATTTAACACGTTAGTTGATTTAAACTTGGGATTTATTTTTCCCTTTGAAATTAAGCTTAGGTGGTGGTTACTATCTCAATACACAAAATCCTGTTAGTTATAATATAAAGTATAATAATACTTGATTATAGTTGTCATACAGAAAGATAAAAAACCAAAAACATACTTCCTATATGGAATCATTTATTGATTACAAAGCATTTTCACAAAAACAAAACCTTCCAAACTCTTTTTTTTATGAAGCCAAGATAACTGATACTAACACTCATCAAAGATCCCCTCTCCCCCCGGCCCTGACCAAAAAAAGTAAACTCTAGCCTGGCATCTCTGAAGAATATAAAAACCAAAAGAAGAAGCAGCTAAAATAAAATATTTGAAATAGACTCCAATAGTATATTAGAAGAAATATATACTTTTCCCAAGTAGTATATATTCTAGTAATGCAAGAAAGGTGGCTCACAATTAATAATGTGATTAATATTCATTGTACCAGTGACTCTAACTAAAAACATACTGTCATTGCCATAGATGATTTTTCTCTTGATACTGGGGGTCAAACTTAGGGAAACGGTACCATGGAGCTATATATCTTCAGCCCTTTTTATTTTTTGAGGCAGCCTCCAGCTAAGTTGCCCAGGCTGGCTCTGAAGTTGTGATCTCACTGCCTTGGCCTCCTGACTAACTTGGATTACAGGTGTGCACCACTGTGCCTGACATTTCCATAGATTTTTGAAAGCCATTTGCAAAAATTCTCTATTCAGGTTTTAAAAATTTAATAAATTAAAGATAAATAGAGACTTTTTAATATAAGAGATTGACCTCAGTTCAAAAGGAAATATAGTCATCCCTTGGTATCTGGAGGACTGGCTGCAGGACCCCACAGGGATACCGAAACCTGCAGATGCTCAAGGACCTCATATGAAATGGCTTTGTATTTGTATATAACATTTATATTCTCCTATATATTTTAAAATCTTCTCTAGATTACTTATAATAGCTAATACAATGTAAATTCTATGTAACTAGTTGTTATAATGTATTGCTTAGGAAAAGAGGACACGAAAAAATATCTTTATGTTCAGTATAGATGCACTTTTTTTCCCAATATTTTTGAGCCATAGTTGGGGAAACCCACAGATGTGAAACCCAGGATACAATGGACCAACTAAATATGCTTAATATAGAAAGTGTCATTACCATATTAAACTATGCTTGGAATTAAATGAGTGTGGCAGCATGCATCTGTAGTTCCAGATACTCAGAAGGCTGAGGCAGGAGGATCACTTGAGCCCAGGAGTTCAGGGGCAGCCTGGGCAATATAGGGAGAGCCCATCTCTTAAAAAGAAAAAAATTATTACACCAGGCATGGTGGCACAAAACTGTAATCCCACCACTCGGGAGACTGAGGCAGGAGGATCACCATGAGTTTGAGGCCAGCCTGAGCTACATAGTGAGTTCAAGGCCATCCTGAAATACATAGTGAGATCCTGCCTCAACCCCCCCACCAATTATGTTCTGGAAGTAGCCAATACAGTCAGACTATAAAGTAAAAAATAAATGCAGGAAACAATAAGAAAAACTACTAGAAAAAGAAGATATTTTGGTAATTACTGAAGTACAATGTTAGTTTGTAGAAATAAATATGTTTGATATATTCACATCACAATTGATTAATGGTCCAATGATATAATGGAAGAAAAAATCCTGGTCATAATAAAACAAAAGTGTAAAATACTTTGGAATGAGCTTAACCAAGGAAAGTTAATACGAAAATTTAAAATATTCCAGAAGGATACAAAAGAAGACTTAAATTAATAAAACTCACCCCATATTATTGGATAAGAAGACACCATAAAGACACCTTTGATATCAGTTCTCCTTAAGCTGTTACTCTCCAAGAATGGTTTATTCTCCATAGATTTAATGTAGTTCCAATAAATATATCAATACAATTTTTTTTTTTTGTCTTTTTGAGACAGGGTTTCTCTGTGCAATTAAGACTGGCCTTAAGCTCACTTTGTAGCCCAGGCTGGCCTTGAACTTGCAGTGATCCTCCTGCTTCAGCCTCCCGAGTGCTGGGATTACAGGCGTGTGCCACCACGCCTGGCTTTTAGAATTTTAAATAGATATGTTACTTCTAAACCCGAGTAACAACAAATAAGCATGAATAGCCAAGGCAAATTTTAAAAGAGAAAATGAGGAATGGTAAGCTTGCTAAGGCTGTAAAACTTCAGTAACTAAATGCCATGATACTGGCACGTGGATAAAGAGATGGAGGGAAGCATGGTAGTGATCTTTTTGTTCTATGCAGTGGAGTTGTAATGCCCACTCCATTGGGAAAGGCATTCTGCTTTACTCAGTGTGTCCATTCAAATCCTAATCTCTTTGGGAAACACTCTCACAAACACATCCACAGATCATGTTTAACCAACTATCTGGGCATCCCTGGCCCAGCCAAGTTAACATAGAAAATCAGCCACCACCAGGATAGGGATGTAGCTCAGTTACAGAGTGCTTGCCTAGCATGCATGAGGCTCTAGGTTCAAACCCTGGTACCATACATAAACAAATAAGCCATGACAGGAAGGAAATAGTGAGTTCAAAAGCATATACAAATCCGTATGAGAATCTATTTTACAATAATAGGCAGCATCTCAGCTCAGTGGGGACATTCAGTAAGTGCTGCTGAGGAACAACTGAGCAGATCTACGGGAAAATGTTGGATCCAGCCTTGAGACTTTACCCAAGAATATATTCTAGACATATTAAAAGTAAAAAATACTATCATAAAAGTCCTAGGATAATTTAGGAAAATTCGCTCATGTCTTCAAATAGAAGTTCTAACTATAAAACAATACCAGAAGTCTATAAGAAAACTAGTAAATTAGACTACGTATGTTTTTAATTCTGTGTGATGAAAACTACCACAAACAAATGGCAAAAATCCAGAGCTTGACTGCCCATAAGCCTAGGCTTTGTGGCCTGCACGTTTAGCCTGCTCTATTCTTCATATTTAAAAACTGACAAAACAACCTGGGTGTGGTAGTACACACCGGTAATCCCAGCACTCTAGGAGGCTGAGGCAGGAGGATCATAAATTCAAGCCCAGCCTGGGCAATTTAGTGAGTTAATGAAATAAAAATAAAAATCTCAAAATAAAAATTAAAAAAGGCCAGAGATTAATTCAGTGGGAAGGTCCTGGGTTCAATCCCCCTTACTGGAAAAAAAAAAAAAAAGACATAACACCGAAAATTCAATAGAGCTAATATATCAGACAATCAGTGGCCCATGTGAAGAATTTTCAAGTAAAATTTCAACACAGAAAATTCAGGAAGAAAAAAATGTAACCTCTAAAATGTAATCTATAGTCCTACTTGCCTATAATCTTAGCACTAAATGTTACTCATTGCTTGAGCAAATCTTTCTGGTCTTTTTACAAAAATGGGATTACTCCATAAATATCATTTTGCTGATCTTTTCACTTAGTGATGTCAGAACATTTTATAGATGATAAACATTATCTTCAATATCTGTTTGTTTGTTTATTCTTTTGTTTTGAAATAGGGTCTTGCTCTGTAGTTCATGCGGATCTTGAATTCACTATGTAGCCCAGGTTGGCCTCGAACTCAGCAATCCTCCTACCTCAGCCTCCCGAGTGCTAGGATTGCAGCTGTATGCCGCCATGCCTGGCTCCTCAATATCATTTTTAATGGCTATATACTAGTCTATTTTATAGAGTTCATGTGGTTTTTTTATTGGCACGTGGGCTATTCCTAATGTTTTGCAAGTAATTGAATAAAAATAAACATTTATTCCTTATCCAGCTTCCTAATTAATGAGGGCCTATATGTAACTTGCAACTACAAGCACTGTGTGTGGTGCAACCTCTGGTCATAGTCCTGTCTCTTAAGCTCTACTTGGCTTGAAGTTCTTGCTCCAAACAAACTGTCACATCCTTGTCCAGCGTGCTCCAGGCTGTCCTCTCTCGCTGTAGTCAACCACAATGAATGATGAGAAACGTGAACAGATTTTCTAGCTGGCTTGAAGTAAAGTGTTCTATAAAATGGTTGCTAAGAAAGCCGAAAGGTTATTACCACATCAGAGAATAAGCCCTTGTTATTTTGGGGTTGCTCCTTGTGTAATGAACCGTGCTATCCAGTACGATAGCCACTAGCGACATATGGCATTTCTATTTTAATATAAATATATTTAGTTTGAAAATTCAGTTTCTCGCCGGGTGTGGTGGTGCATGCCTGTAATCCCAGCACTCAGGAGGCTGAGGCAGGAGGATCGTTGCGAGTTCAAGACCAGCCTGGGCTACAAGTGAGCTCAAGGCCAGCCTGAACTGCATAGTGAGACCCTGTCTCAAAAAGATTAAAAAAAAAAAAAAAAGAAAGAAAGAAAATTCAGTTTCTCAATCATACTGGCCACATTTCAAGTGCTCAGTAGCCATGTGTGGCCTGGGATTACTACAGTGGACCATGTGCAGGAGACTGCCATCATTACAGAAAATTCCACTGGACAGAACCAGTGTGGGACATCTCACTGCCAGTTAAGAAATCAAAGAGCAGGGCCTGGTGGAGCAGGCTTGTAATGCCACTACTCAGAAGGCTGAGGCAGGAGGATTACAGTGACTTTGAGGCCAGTCTGGGGTCTGTAGTGGGTTCAAAGCCAGTGGGAACTGCATAGGGAGCCCCTGTCTCAAAAAAAAAAATCACTTACAAAAGAAACATTAAAAAAAGAGAAAGAAATCTACGTACACTGCTTTGTCTACAATGCCCAGGTGCAGCGAGCAATTATACATTTTTATGTTAATGATTCTGTTAAATTATTTTTTAAAAGTTTTTACATGATTACTATTTGTATCAGACCTGCCCTTTATTAACTGGTTATTTTGCTCATTTGAATCTGTGGTCCTGAAGCTGAGCGTGGTGGCATCCACCTGGAATCCTAACACCCAGGAGGTTGAAGCAGGAGGATCGCCTCAAGTTCCAGGCTAGCCTGGGCTACCTAGTGAGTTCAAGGCCAGTCTGGACTACATAGTGAGACCCCCATCACAAAAAAATGAAAGCAAATAAACAAAAACAAAGAGGTCCCAAGAATCACAGATGAAGTGACTAGCCCCTGGTAAATGACTAATATGTGGGGGACAGGGCCTTCCTCTTGTCTTCTGATCCCAACTGCCTAACTGGTTTCTTCACCTCCTGCTGCCCTCCTTCCCACACAAGGATGGTAACAACACGGCATTTCATTCCTTGTCAAGAGTGAAGGCATCTTACCCAGAAATAAGTTTTCTTTCTGAATGCAATTTGAGACAAATGTTTCAGAATCATAAAAATGAAAGCAATTGATTCATGAGGTAAAGCTGGTTTTCTACTGAAATTATTTATGTTTTTCTGTTTCTATTTCTAGCTTGAGCAATTTCGGACCCTACTCTTCACTTCTGAGGGAGAAAAAGAGAAAAAAATGGTGGACAACTTTCGCCCCCTTCAGCCCCTGATGAATCGCACTGTTCGCTCGTCCTTCCGCCATGACTATGTGCTGAACATACAAGCGAAACCCAAGCCATCGGCCAGCCAAGTGACCCCCTAAGGTGTCCGTACCTAGGCAATATTTTGCTTCTTTTAGCTTTTTAAAACATTGTTTAAACTATTTTAAATACCTGCACTAATAATATTTATAGAATATATAATTCTTTTTTGACATTTCCAAGTCACTACCCTTGTAAGGCTGGAACAGGGAGACAGGAACAATTGGAAAATAACTGATTGGCTAACATCAGGCTACTTTAGGTGACCATTTGTTTGTGAGGATTAAGGCAGAGAGGACTTCATTACTATTGCCAATTGAAACTGGCCCGTTTGGGAAAGTTGGCTGTCATCTCTCTAATCTTGCTTTTTGAGAAGGTCAGATAAGTAATTTAGTTTCTGTTTGGTAAAGTGGAACTTTATTTGGTATGAGTGATTCCATTTTGAGTTTGAGCCTGGTCTGCTGCAGCCTAGTACAGCAGCTCAGTTTAAAACAATGGCCTCCTGTAATTTTTATTTAACAATTTTCCGGTTTTGATCAGGCTCTCACAGCCTTAGAGTCTTAGTGTCACTCTTAGTTACCATCATTTTGGGCTTCAGGTATTAACATGTCATTCATAGGTTAGATGTGCATTTATTGGCATGAAAGCGCTTTATAAATCTTTGAAAAATCTATTTGGTAAACAGATTCTTTCTTTGGTTGATAATAGTACTTATCACTAAAATATCAGCAAGAGGTACAAGTTTCTTTTACAGCAACTTATTGGTAACTGTAATGTCTTTTTATGTCTGACATTTTTGAGCATTCTTTTTATATTTCCCAGTCAATAGTCCCATAGAGTTATAAGTAGGGATTATATTCAAAATGTTTAATAAATGGTAGAGGTAGAGACACTGATCACATAGAACAGCGGCCTTTTAGAAATGGCCATAGGGCCCAGACTGGTCCTTTCTGGCTGAAGACTGACCATGGTTTTAGGTGTACTTTCTTTCAAAATGGGAATGTATATTCTTTTATTAGGGTTCCTCAATAAATATGTTTGCTCCACTTTTTAGTTGACATAACTAGTACATGATGTGCTTACTTATTACCAATTTATAATGTAGAAAATATGTTTTGTAATCATGAGAAAACAAGGATTTTACTAGTGTCTCTGGGCACACTATCACAGATTCACCCAGAAGTGTGCTTTACTAATTTTCTAGGCATTTCTCAATCCAGTCAAGTTGATAGCCAAGAAATCCTCTTACATTTCTGAAGATCAGATATTTTACTTAATGACTTGATCACATAGAAACCATATTCAGAACATATTAAAGAAAATGCTTAAAATGCCTAGAACAGAATTCTTTCATGGTACATTTACAGAACTATTCTGCAATGGAGTAGTAATCTAATAGCCTGCCTTTATAGTATTATTTTGCATTATTTGTACACTGTTACATAGAATATAGTTATAATACTTCCACAGTGACAAGCAATCTGAGCTTCCCTGTAAAGCTGAATAAACTTGGGCTACAGACGTAGCTCAGTGGCAGAGTACCTGCCTAGCATGTGTGACATCCTGGGTTTAATCCCTAAGACTGCCAGAAATGAAACTTTCTGAACTTTATTTGCTTCTAAATAGTCAAGGTTTTTTTTTTTTTTCAAGATGTGCCAGTTAGCTTTTCGTTGCAGTAACAAAACACCTGAGAGTAGCAATTTAAATGAGGAAAGATTTGTTTGGGCTTGTGGTTTCAGAGGTTTCAGTCCATGATCAGCCCATTCCATTGCTTCAGGCCTGTGGTGAGGCAGAAACACCATGGTGGATGGGGGTTGCGGTGAAAAGCTGCTCACCTTATGGCAGACAGTATGCAGAAAAAGAGGGACAGAGCCTATTCTGGAGGGCTTTGTCCTTCTGCTTTTATTCTATCTGCATCCTGAGCCTAAGGATGGTGCCACCCACATTCGTGTCCCACATGCCAATTGTCTCTGGGCACACATCACAGATTGACCCAGAAGTGTGCTTTACTAGTTTTCTAGGCATTTCTCAATCCAGTCAAGTTGACAGCCAAGATTAACCATCACATAAGGCAAATGTTCACTTTAAATCTCCCAATTTATACAGTGGCTTAGAAGATTTTTGTTACAGTGACAGGAAGAGGAACTTGTCAGACAGCTGAAATCTAAAATATAGCTAATTCACATGTTTGGTGGAATCTATGTCACTATTATGTTTGCTTATATATATCTTAGAATGTTTGCAGCTGCCTCTAAGCTTGTGTTCAGATGCAATACTTCATCAAAAACTAGAAGAATCTTATTAATATGCTGGTCATCTAGTCTACAAGATAGGGTTGGATGAATATACCTAACAGTATTGAACTGTATGTACATTTAAAGATGATTAAGATGGAAATGGGAGTACCTCACATTTCAAACTTCTGCTTATCAAAGAAAGCAGTTAACAAAGTGAAAAGGCAGCCTACAGAATGGGAGAAAATAATTGCAAATAACACACTTGATAAGGGATTATTATCCAGAATATATAAAGGGCTTCTGTAACCCAAGAACAACAATAACAACAAACCAAATAACCCAATTTAAAAGTGAACTCCAAAGAATACATGCAAGGAACCAAGAAGTACATGAAAGATGCACTAATTGTTGGGGAAATGCAAATCAAAACCTCAAGGGGATATCTCTTCACGCCAATCATGATGGCTGCCATCAGAACAGAAAATAACAAGTGTACAGGATGTGGAAAAGTTGTGCTCTGTGGTTGGGCATATACAATGGTACAGCCATTATAGAAATAAGTTTGGAGGTTCTTCAGAGAACTAAAAACAGAATTACCATATGGTCTAGCAATCCAGCCTCTGGGTAGATATCCAAAAGATTTCAAAGCTGGATCTCACAGAGATATTTGCACATACATGTTCATAACAGCATTATTCACAATATCTAAGAGTTGGAAACAACCTAAATGTCCACTGACAGATGACTAGTAAAGAAAATGAGCACTTGGCTTACATTTTCTAAGGCCCTGGATTTGATCCCCAGCACTAAAGAAGAAAATAAAAGCCAAAAAAAAGTTATTGCATGCAATTAATCTTTGTCAAACCTTAGTTACCTTTCAAAGGGTAAACACACAAAATATGCATTTTCCAGGGTCCCAGGGTTTTCATACAGTCTCTTGCAAACTCTTATTATAAAGCTCTGTAGTAGGGAGTCTTCCAGATAGGAGCAAAAACCAATGATTAACTTGCTCTTCTACCTTAGAGGTATGAAGGATATATTCATAAGGTGACCGTTTCCTGGTTTGCTGTTTCTGATTTACTTATAGCTGCTATTCTGGTGTAATTATAATGGAGCCTCTTTCCCTGTCAACTATGTCCTGGTTTGCATGGCAAATTCTTGGTCACTTTCCCTGCAGATGTTACGGAAACTGCCTTGAGCTTCCGGTCCCTTCTGTCATGCTTTTGTCATATGACCCTCCAAAAGGCACTGTAAATATCTTGGTTACTTGTACACTTTTGCAAGAAACTTTTTATGTTTTATGCCTTCAAAGTGATAGCCATCCTAAACATAAAGTCAAAAGTGATGCCTGTGTGAACACACAAGCAGAAAATGGGCCTAAGATTTCTCCTACATCTTGAGAAAGACTTTTGGGTTGAAAATGCTGCTCATCTTTATTAAATAATACTAGATCAATAAATCTCTTTCTTTACAATATTAGTTGTTCTCAAATGACTTTTCATTCCTATTTGTTTTGGTATATGTCTATAAAATTAGTGAGGTACCCCTTAACATGCAGATCGGAAAGCAACTGGAAAACTCATAAAGGACTTACTAGAGAAGCAGTAATGGGAAGAACCAGCCAACCCTCTATAGTTCACCTCTGCTGACATCGCTATACAGGGTAAGCTCCCAGCCCCTGTCTTCCCAGGGCTACATGGTGTGAAGGTTCACTGTGCACTGGTCCCCAATTGTCTGGCTTCAGTGAGACAGACTACACAACAAGTTACATGAAGCAGATGTATTATTTACATACAGGCAGCAAGGGACAAAAGCAGCCTAGGTTCATTTATGAGTTGGCCCCCCAACACTCAAAACAGCTGCCCCAAGATGGATAGAGATTGACCATGTGGCCCCTGTCAGAACATAGCCTATGGGACCCCAAAAATAGCCCTCCCCAGGTTTTGCACCTCAGCGCTACAGGTCTGATTGGGCTTCAAAGGCCATCCTGTTTCCAGGGGAGAGTAGAATAAAGTCTGGCTGTTCAGGGCAGTTTCCCTCTAATTCAAGAAGGTACATTTCCAAGGTGGTGCCGGGAACAAGGTCCAGGCTGTCTCAGGCCGTTCCTCACTGTGATAGTTTGAGGAGTTGTGATAAAACATCTGAGAGTAACAGCTTAAAGGAGGAAACGTTTATTTGGGCTCCATTGCTTTTGAGCCTGGGATGAGACAGAGACATGGCAGAGGGCATGGCAGAGGAAATTCCCCTATGACTCAATTTCTTTCAACTGGGTCCTAAATTTCCATTATCTCCCCAAAATAGCATCACATTGTGATTGCATTAATGGATTAATCCACTGAGCAAGTTAGAGTTCCCATGATCCAATCACATTCCAAAAGCCCCACCTTAGAACATATGAAACTTTTGGGGGACCTTGTACATCTAAACCATAACACTCCCTATGTCAGGACACTGCATTCTCAGTATATTCTAGTCATTCTTGAGAACTCTGAGCAAGAAATGTGGGAAAACTGGGTTAGTTCAAGGTCACCCAGAGAATGGACCTACATGTAACTTAGAGCAAAGATGGCTATTCTAAAATGAAGCATCCACTCCTGAAAAGTTTAGTCTTTTCTTATTGAATTCAAATGATAGTAATTATAGTTTGGAAGTGGAATTGGCTCTTAGCATTTTTTTTTTTTTTTTTTTTTGCTTTTAGCATTTTTCCTGTAATGAAATTAACTTAAGCAATTCAAACCTGTTCATGAAAATGAATTCAGTGGTTAACTGCTGAAATAAATGTCTACCTCCTATAAAAGGAGGTTTATATTTGGTTTTAAATTATAATAAAACAAAGTCTACATTTGTGTTTTTTTTATTTAGGAGTATCTTCCTAGAAGATATCCTTACTTACTATTCTGAGTGAAATTCTGATCTGATTCCTAAGAAATGTTACAGCAATCCAAATTCCAGGCAGCAGCAAGTCTTCAGTATAAGTCCTGGCATAGTCATGGGGACCAGCAACATCAGTGACCTACACAGCTACAGCATTCTGTGCCACCCATGGCTTTTTGTAGTTTGGGACTATGCTAAATTTTCAGCTTCAAAAATTCTAAGGTTGACAGGAGCACCAAGATGGTAGAGTAGTAAGCAGCAGAGAAAGAGCCTCTCTGAGAGTCACTGTCCAGATGCTGGAATATAGCAACATGAGAAAGATGAGAAGGAGGGAAGTGCGTCCCCTGGACCCAGGAAGGATCTAAGGTGTGAACTGAAGCCCACAGAGAGTGAAGAGAGAAACTTCAACAAAGAAGAAGAAGGTAGTGGGCAGTGCCTTCTCCCTGAGTTGGGAACCACTTGAGAGGAGCAATTCAAACCTGCAGACACGGTGACTGCTGGGGACCCCAGAGGCTTCCAAGGAGAGATGTAGCAGTGAAGGGGAGCAGTGGATATGAAGGACTACACTAGCTGGTGGTGAGTGCTGAGGGCTCAGTCTTCCTGAGTAAGACAGCAATTGGTTGGGAGCCATTTTGGAGAGGGAGCAATTGAACTCAGAACCTTAGGCTGGCTGCTGGCTCTATCTAGCAGCTCCCAGGCCCACAGAATGTGCACTGACAACTGCAGGTTGAATGAGTCTGGTCTCTGCCAGAAGGTACAGCCTGGCTGAGATTATCCATTACCCCTCCAAAAGGCTGCTACTTGGGATTATCCATTACCCCTCCAAAAGGCTGCTACTTGGGATAAATCAACATGGATTGGGACTCTGTTTCCACATGTTGTCTACCAATGACAGCAGAGACATACTTGGAAATGGAATTATTTCTTTTTTTCTTTTCTCTTTCTCT